GGAGGTGGCGACGGGCGCGGTGACGACTGTCGCGGGCAGCGGCGCTAAGGGCAGCGCGGATGGCGTGGGCGATGCGGCGGAGTTCAAGCGCCCAGTTGGCGTCGCCATCAGCCCCGATGGCAGCACTCTTCTGGTCCGCACGGGAGCGATGTCGGGAGCGACGGCTCTCCGCCAGGTCTGCGTGTCTGCGCCTCCTCCGCCTCCCTCCTTTGCGCCGATTGTGGTGCCGCCCTCGACCCTCGTGGCAGACCTGAAGAAGACGCGGGGCGACCCCACCCTCCCCACCGGCCTGGTCACCTTCCTGGTCGGCGACGACGAGGAGCGCATCGAGCACGTGAGCAAGAACCTGCTCTGCGTGCGGTCCGAGTACTATGGGAAGATGTTAGGCATCGGCATGAAGGAGCGCGACGCCGCCGAGATCACGGTGCCCAAGACGGACCTCGCCAGCTTCACCGCCTTCATCGACTACCTCTGCACCGACCAGCTCGACCTCGGCGAGGGGGAGGGCGAGCAGGCACGGCGCGCGCTCGTGCTGCGGGAGCTGGCGCAGATGTACCAGGTGCCGCGCCTCGAGCTGCTCTGCGCGCAGGCGCTGCAGGAGAGCGTCGGGCCGGCGAGCGCCGTGCCGCTGCTCGAGGCGGCGCACACGACGGGCGACGGGCGGCTCCTCGCGCAGTGCCGCCGCTACGTGGCCGACCACGCCGCCGAGGTGCGGGCGAGCGGCGGCGTGGAGCAGCTGCGCGACTTGGGCGTGGCCAAGGGGCTGCTCGGCGACGCGCTCGACCAGGTGGCGGAGCTCAAAGGGACGGTGGCGGCGCGCGACACGGAGCTCGAGAAGGTCCGGGCGGAGGTGGCCGAGCGGGCATGAGTGAGGGGCAGCGCCCCACCGCCGGGTGGGATTATGTATTCCGCACCTGCATTGTGCATTCTGTACGACCCTTTTTTTGGCCTCTCCTACCTATATTGGGCGAGTGTTTGCATTCTGCACCTGCATCCTGCATCGGTACTCTGTCCGCTCTCTCCTGGCTGTGGGTGAGTTTTTGCATTCCGCATTCTGCATCCTGCATCCTGCACGTATCTCACAGGAGCGCTGTGATCTAGCTCTTTTGGGCCCGCTTCTGCATTTGGCTTCTGCATCTGCATCCTGCATCGGGTGCAGTTCACAGCTTTCCTATTTGGGGCCGATTCTGCATTCTGCATTCTGCATCTGCATCCTGTGAGGGGAGAAAACGGGAATCTTTGTGCGATTCATAATAGTACAACACGCATATCCGTGAATCACCTAGTGTGCCATAGTGTGCCACCCTCACCATTCTTTTTCTGCCATTAACAAATTGCCCTGCCCAACATATTTTAGTTACTGGGTCCTAATGGCTATGTGGGAGAAGTTTGGTCTTTGTTTCATGGGGGGATCTGGATGTATTCACGGCTAAAGTTGGTGCCGGCACGGCTCCCCTAGCCGGTCTCTCGGGGCAGGCCGGGAAGAGCCTCCAGGCCTTCTGTGGAGCTTAGGTAGGGTCCCCAGCCAGCCTCCAGCTGCAAGGCAGTCTCCAGGGGCCATGTAGCATGCCTGACATGACAGTGCAACCCACCCGGACACGGGTAGCGCACCAGAGGAGGCGGTGCAGCTGCGGCGGCTGCCGCCGCCTCGGCTCGACAGCAGCTGCATGGCTAAGCCTCCCCTCCCCTCCCCTCCTCCCCGCCCGCCCGCCCGCCGCCCCCGTGCCCCCTCCCCTCGCCCGCGCACTGGCCACCGCCCTTCGCTCGTCTAGCGTATAGGTACTCTCGAGGGTGGAGGGGAAGACGTAGGGCTGCATGCGCGCCTTCCAACCGAGGCCCCCCCACCCTCACTACTCGCTGCCTACTCGCTGCCTCGAGGGAGGGGGGGGAGACGTCAGGCAGCTCCCACTCCTGTGATGAGCGCTTGAACCGAGGCCCCTCCCCGAAAGGCAAGAGTATTAGCCACACGAAACCCGAGACCCCTCCCCCCCGCCCCCCTCCCCCCCTCGGGAGGGCCGAACTGAGGCGCCCGTGGGGACCCCGCAATTCCCTTCCCCCCTCGGAGGGCCGGACTGAGGCGTCGAGGGCCCCGCTCTTTCCTTCGCATAGCGGCCACTCTTCGGATCGCTGGTCGAGCGAGCGACCCGGGGGATGCCCCGCGCGCCTGACCCAGGCGCGAAAACGAATCTGCGAGGCGTGGCCGCTCACGCGGCCCGACGGGGAGGAGCGGGGCGGACTACGGGGATCGGCTTCTTACACAGCCCTTCCCTGCAGCGAGCCCCCCTCCAACCCACCCGCGCTAGGTCTCGGGCGGCGAAGGGGTCACTCCCGACGACCTCGGGAACTAGCCGGGGCA